TATATCACAGTGGGAGACTTTACATTTATTTTTGAAAATTATTTTTTTCCCGAAATAGCATCCCGCATTTTAGCCAACCTTATCACACCGCATGGCTTCTGGTAGTTCCTCTACTAGTCACGCGTATCAAGCCCACCTTATCTCACCGCATGCGTTTCAACACTTAGACCTTATACCATTGCATGCTTATCAATATCACAACGTATCACAATTCGTACCTCAAGTGCATAATATCACAACTTGCCAAAGAAACCAAACAATAACAGAATTTCATAATAAGGAGCCCACGGCTTAACTACAATGTACACAAAGTCCCAACAATAACAACCGGAAGAATAACTCAATTGAATGATATTTCAAAACTTAACACTTGCCTAAATAGGAATCACGACCTTTGCACCTCAATACTAATTTCAACAACAAGATATTCCAAGAATAGCAATTTCACGTAAATAATTCAATAGTTAAATAATGAATACGGAATAAAGGAAACAAGAACTTCAACTAAACATGTAAGCAATTAGCAAGTAAGAGATAAGACAAGTAAACATGTGAAATTAGACTAAAATGGTGACTATAACATGTTAAGGCAACTCAATTAGGGCATGGAAGGGATCTCCATAACTAAAATCAGAAATTTCTACATTTAGCATGTGTACACACTCATCACCTTGCGTACACGGCTTTTACATATCACAATTATTATAACAACACCAAATCCTAAGGGGTAACTCCCCCACATAAGGTTAGGCAAGTCACTTACCTCAAATCTCGCTAAATCAATCAACTAGAAGACCTTTCCCTCGATTTTTCAACTCCGAGCGGCTCGAACCTAGCCAAATAATTTCATACTATAAATAAAACTATAGGAAACTAATTCAAACAATGAAATTATGATTTTTGCAAATAATTAAAAAATCGACCCAAAAAGTCAACCCGGGCCCGCATCTCGGAACCCGATCAAAATTATAAAATACGAACACTCATTCGTTATCGAGTCCAACCATACAAGAATTACTCAAATCTGACCTCAATTCGCCTTTCAAAACTCAAAAAATTAGCCTAAGGAGTTTCTACCATTTTTTCCCAATTTTCAACTCCAATACTCTAATTAAATGTGAAAATTAACAATAAATTCTTGCAAATTAACCAAAAACGAGTGAGAATTTCATACCCCAACGTTCTGTCTGAAAAACCTTCGAAACATCGCCTCCCACCGAGCTCCCTAAATCCAAAAATGAATTATGAATCAAAACCCTTGAATCTCCCATTTTCTACCTAGTGACTTCCGCACCTGCGACCTTTGGGCCGCACCTGCGGAAAAACCATCGCAGCTGCGAATTTCACTTAAGTCCAAGGAATTCGCTTATGTGAAAAATAGCTCACATCTGCGCATGAGCACCTGCGGCGAAAGCGTCGCACCTGCGACCACTGTCGCTCCTATGCTCATCTCCATGACAGAAGCGAAGTCGCTTCTATGGAACATTTCCCGCTCCTGCGACCCCGGCTGGGCATGACCAACTCCGCATTTGCGACCAAATGCTCGCACCTGCGATCATTCCCTCCGCAGGTGCAAAGACACCAGAAGCTGCAAATCTTTAACAAATTCTACAAGTCCAAATTGTTTCGGATTCGATCCGAATCACACCCGAGGCCCCCGGGATCCCGTTCGAATATACCAACTAGTTTCAAAATACAAAACGGACCTACTCGAGGCCAAAAATCACATCAATCAACATAAATTCTATGAATCGCAACCCAAATTCAAGCCTAAGCAATTATGAACTTTCGAATTCCGAAACCAACGACGATTACCAAAATAATTCTGATTGACCTCAAGTTTGCACACAAGTCATAAATAATATTGCGGACCTATTTCAACTTACGGAATCGGGATATGACCCTGATATCAATAAAGTCAACTCCCGGTCAAACTTTCCAAAATATTCCATTTTCTAACATTCGCCAATTCACGCCGAAACGACCTACGGACCTCCAAATCAACATCCGGACACGCTCCTAAGGCCAAACAACATATGAAGCTATTGGAATCATCAAAACTCCATTACGGAGTTATCTTCACACAAGTTAAACTACGGTCAACTCCTATGACTTAAACCTCCAACTTAGGGACTATGTGTCCCATTTCACTTCGAAACTCACCCGAAACCAAAACCAAACACCCCGGCAAGTCACATAACCACAGTACAATACAGAGGAGATAATAAATAAGGGATCGAGGCTAAAACACTCAAAACGACCGGTCGGGATAGTTACATAGTTAGTGTCTTGCACCGTTCTGGTCGCCAAACTCATAGTCCCTCAAAATACTTCCATTTTGGGTTCAAATCGCGCACATCCTTTCGAAATCACTACCGATTGACTACTACATATATAAGCATTGTAATTAAGCTCGAGTCGTCCCATAACACGTTAAAATTAATATGGCAAAAATATAAGGCACTTCATATATAAAAACATGAGTTTTTGGCCAAATATCAATCGACCGAGAGTATGCTCTGAGCACTTAAGTGGTATAAGATGAAATTGCAATCTCCTCAATAATTATTAGTCTCTAGAAGATTTACTAATGTTGAAAATTAATTGTTATAGCGTCGACATAAATTGACATATGGAACTTCATTGCAGTTTAATTGTTTATTGACTTGAAAAATGACAATAAACGTACATAACATGCATCAATTAACACACCTTCTGGTTTACATAGAGTTGGAATTATATATAGTTCCTTTAATCCCTTGGAAAGGGACTAATAAACATTAAAAGAAAAATTGACATTATCACGAATTCTCGTTTTGAAGCAGTCCAAATTGAATTATACTAAAAAGAATTTTATGACTAGATTTAACTGAGCTAAAAGTTTCTAAAGCCAAAATTTTCAGAATTTTATGACCAGATTCAATTATTCATAGGAGGAATGAGCTTTTACCAAAATCTTTTGCTTAATTCGTGACAGCAGGCTCCATGATAATAACTCTCTAACTACAAGCTACGTTCTCACTTCTTGCTTCCACATATAAGAAAGAACTCTTCAAACTCTTTTGGAAAAACGCAACTCTCACCTACATCTGTTTTTTAACAAAACAATACAACCAACATACAGCTCATGATTTCAATAATACATGAGAAAATTGTACTATGGTCTTACTAATCAGAAAAGTTTTTATTAATTAATGGTCAAGACCTCTGACTCTAAATTTTTTTTGTGCTCTAAACCATGTAGAAAAGAAAGCTATCTATTACTAATGCCGAGTTTTATTAGTATTAATTTAATAGAGGCAACAATTAGATAAGCTTTAGTTGGTACTGATGTTTCAATTCTTGCAAATGTCATCTTTTTTACTTAAGTTTTTTTACATGAACAAAGTTGAACACTTGGACTTGTTCTTTTGTTGTAGTTGAACCAGAGATATTGTTGGACCAACCCAAGTTCAAAGTGGGATATATTAAATTTTTATGAAGGGTTAAAGTTGAATATTGCATATGCATGTAGCCATGTAAGCTTCGCTTCAAAAAGGAGTTTACCATACATGTAACAAGGTTGTGTAAATTATAAGAAAGAAATCAGTAAATCAAAAAATGAGGTTCTGATCTTCCCCTTGAAGCATCTCGTTTATCCACCAAACTAGTTATAAAAATGACATTCTTGCATAGACTCTATATAAGATAGGTTGTTGTACTTCCTCTCTAGCTCACTAAATATATATACACTTAAGTAGAAGAAAATAAGATAAAGAGATAAAAGATTGTGGGGGAAATGGCGGAATGGCTGAGAATTATGGTGGTGTTGGCTCTCTCCTGGCCAGTGTTGGTAGAATGCAGAGGCAATATCCGTCATTATAAATTCAATGTAAGTTTCATTCTGTGTGTACCAATCAATAGTTTTGCAAAGTACATAAGCACAAAAGGTAAAAACTTAAGCGCAATCGGGTGCAGATAAGTTTTTACCAAGACTAAATAATAGTATAATTTAACATGTTGTAGCAGGTTATCCGCCTTATTGTTTATATTATTAACTTCAGTTATTATGGATAATTACCTATAATTATTTTTTCCGTGACGCAATTGTATAAAATTTGTTTATACGGTCAGTTATCCTCTTACAAAATCAGGAGGGGGTCTGGGATTAAGGTTTTCATAGTCTTTAAAATATAAAAATGGTACTAATTAATTGGTAGGTAATGCATAAAGTTAGCAGGAACAGATTTCAATGAATACATTGACTTATGAAGCGAAGCTTATCGTCATTTTTCATTATTATTAATTCATTATTTTCTTAGTTTAACTCATACTTTACCTGAAACATCTATGAATATGTCAATATAAAGCAGTATGCATGTGCATTTTGATTTTGCGTCAAACACAAAGGTGAATTCTGATGCAAGATTAACTGATGGAATGTCATTTTCCGTAATGCGCAAATATTCTACAGAAAGGTTTTGGCTACAAATGGACAGATTAATGGATGGAATGTCATTTTCCAAAATATTTGGTAATTATGTAATGATGCAGAATATAGTACTCCATTTTTTTTTAAAGTATTTGCGATTGGGTACATTAATATAAAGTCTAAATTGCGTTTGGGGATAGATGCCACTGTCTTGCATCATTCTCTTCTTTTCCCTATCAACCGCTGTCAAATTATCTGCATGTCTAGATAAACCTACAAATCAATGAAGTATATATGCAGCAAACATGTCTAACATTGTAGTCGTACTTATCATTTTACAATAAAGGACCCGTTTGGACGTAGATTTTTAATTTATTTTTTTTAAAGGCTGATTCGGGTGAAGTTTGATGTGAAATTATAAATATGTTTGGACATGAATTTTGGGGCAAGTTTTGACATGTTAAAAAGTTCTTTTTTCAGCTAAAAAGTCCCAAAATGGTCTTAAGCTATATTTGGATTTTGAAGTTTTGATTTTCAAAATCTCCTAAAAACTAGATTAACTCTATAAACAAACCCATATTTGAATTATTATTTTTTTGAAAAAAAAACTTTCAAAACTTATGACCAAACGCCTACTTTATCACTTCGCAAAATCTCATTTTGATACTCTATATATATTTACGTGTGAGTTTCAATCAGAATAAAAGAAGGAGAACGGGTTAGGTTTATAATAATGTCAAATTATTTAGTATAATTTACTTACAAGATGAAAATGTTAAATATATTACTTGAATGGTCAACTACATCATGTTTCAGTTGGCCTTGTGATAATTTGATTAATTGCTGAAATGGAAAGATTAAATTTTTTTTAAAAGGATCAGTGATCATCACAACACTCAAAAGATTAAATTGAAAATTGATTTAGCTAAAGACTGTATGAATAACTAAAATCTTTTATACTTCTATTTTTCTTTCTCTGGTGTGGAAGTTTGGCTAACAAGCTAAATATATGCTTCAAGAAAGGTAAAGATACATTTCATAAAAGGATTTAAATCGTAAAAACTGACAGTATATAGTATTTTTATACTGTTTAACATATTATAGCTTGCTATTTATCCTAGTTTTTAGGTTAGTATATCAAGCTTCACTTTAAACAGTCACCTCGGCACTGCTGGAAAATGGTCCTATGGCAACGGAAGGAAAACTGTTGCAACAGATAGGTAAACCGTTGCCGTAGAGATATAACTACGGTTTAGCGACCGTTCCATCTGCCGGCATGCCAATAGAACTAGAGCAACCATGTTCAAAATGGTTGCTATAGAGATATAGCTATGGTTTAGCGACAGTTCCATCAGTGCACCAAAATTAAACTCCGATTGCTGAGATTTTGTAATGCAGGTGGTGATGAAAAATATAACAAGATTATGCTCAACTAAGGCTACTGTAACAGTGAATGGCAAATTTCCTGGTCCAACTATCTATGCCAGGGAAGATGATACCCTACTTATCAAGGTCGTTAACCAAGTTCATTATAACCTCACCATCCACTGGTTAGTTCTCTATTACAAAACTTTCTATCCTACATTTTTTGTTCTTTTCTTTTTCTATGTGATTTTTTTTTTTCAAAATGATGAACAGGCACGGTGTCAAACAAATAAGGACAGGGTGGGCTGATGGGCCGGCTTACATAACACAATGTCCGATACAGCCAGGGAAAAGCTATGTCTACAATTTTACAGTCACAGATCAGAGAGGAACACTATTTTGGCATGCGCACATTCTCTGGCTCAGGGCAACTGTCCATGGTGCTATTGTCATTCTCCCTAAGCTTGCTTTGCCCTACCCATTCCCCAACCCCCAAAAGGAAATTCTAATCATTTTAGGTAATGTTTTGTCATTGTCATACCATTTTTTTTATTTATGAAAATGAGTAGCCTAGCCTAGTTGAAATATACTAGCTGAGTAGCCTAGATGAAATATACTAGCAGCATCACATGTGTATTTGGTGTATACAGTATCTTTCTTTAGAATCCCAAATAGACAACGAATTTGTCCTTTAAATTTTACTAGAATCGGCATATATAGCAGGGTACATAGAATCGTCGATTAACTATGTGAGATTCATTTCTTTTTTTTCACACAATTGAGATAAGAATAAGGCCTAATTGACAGAAGGGTTCAACTAACTTGTTTCCACTTTATTTTTCCTTTTCTATCCACAAATTTGGTGGCTCAATTGGCAGGTGAATGGTGGAAGTCAGATGTTGAAGCTGTAGTTGATGAAGCCACACAATTAGGTTTGCCCCCTAATATTTCTGATGCTCACACCATCAATGGCCTTCCTGGTCCTGTCTCAACCTGCTTATCACAAGGTAAAATTCATGGCATTTTTCTTCCTTTCTAGCATTCTTCAGATTTTGGACTAGTGCTTTCCTTTTCTATTTTTAATATATTTTGGATTAAATTTATCTATATTGCTTTTTAACACTATTAATAGTTTAACATGTTAGTTATCATATTTACTAGGTCAACTGCAAATGCTTGTCATACAAATTTATATGTATTTACTTTATAAGTGACTTGAATATTGTTAATACTTTTTTAGATCAGTTGGTACGTAAAACTTAAACTCTTTTTTTTGTTCCAACGATCGACAGAGGGATTCACTTTCCTAGTGGAGCCAGGCAAGAAGTACTTACTGAGAATAGTCAATGCTGCACTGAATGAAGAACTTTTCTTTAAGATTGCTGGCCACAAGCTCACTGTGGTTGAAGTAGATTCTTCCTATGTTAAGCCCTTTAAAGCTGACACCATTTTAACAACTCCAGGACAGACAACAAATGTCATTTTATCAGCTGATCTTGGAACTGGAAAATACTTAATGGTAACATCACCATACATGGATTCTCCTATCTTAGTGAATAACAGAACTGCTACTGCTACTTTACAATATGTAGGCACCAATACTTCTTCCACCACAACAACTTTAACCGTGCCGCCACCTACAAATGCCACCCCTATTGCAATTAAATTTATGGACTCTCTCAGAAGCTTGAATTCAAGAAAATATCCAGCAAAAGTCCCACTGACAATTGATCATTCCCTTTTTTTCACCATTAGTCTTGGACTCAACCCTTGTGAATCATGTTATAGAGGATTTCGAATTGTGGCAGCTATCAATAATGTCACATTTGTTATGCCAAGTGTGTCACTGCTTAATGCACATTTCTTCAATAAAAGTGGTGTGTTTACTGATGATTTCCCTGGAAATCCAGCATATACATTTGACTACACAGGGATTCCACCAGAAAACTTGAGGACAATGGAAGGGACTAGGCTATATAGACTTGCTTATAATTCTAATGTCCAAGTAATAATGCAAGATACAGGATTGTTGAGCCCTGAGAACCACCCAATGCATTTACATGGCTTCAATTTCTTTGTGGTTGGAAGAGGCAGAGGAAATTTTGATCCAGAGGAAGACCCTAAAAAGTTCAACCTTGTTGACCCTGTTGAGAGGAACACCATAAATGCCCCTTCTGGTGGTTGGGTTGCTATCAGGTTCAGGGCAAATAATCCTGGTAAAATCTTCTGGAAATAAAGGTTTTTCATTATTTACACTGATAGTATAAAAGACCTTTTCAGTATTGTGTATTTTAACATGTTATAACAAGTTACATGCCATACTTTTCAAGTTACTAATTCCACTTATTATGGACTGTCACATATAGTTATCCTTTAAATAACCAAATTATGGGAAAATTATCTTACGGTTAAAAGTTAAAAATTATGTTGTTTGAACTGATTTCAACTTTGTAATATTTTTATTTCTTTGGGTTGATTTTTATAGGGATTTGGTTTCTCCATTGCCATTTGGAGGTGCACACAACATGGGGACTGAAGATGGCTTTCGTGGTTGATAATGGAAATGGCCCTGAAGAATCTCTTTTACCTCCTCCCAAAGATCTTCCAACATGTTAAGATTTCCTATCATTTAAGTGTATATATTCAGAGTAATCCACTGGTATGAGTTGTTTGAGCAGGCAAAAAGAGGTTCTTTGAGTAAACAGTTTGCTTTTTCAAGAATAAAAAAGGTTATAATATCAAAGGGGACAAGTTTGTATGAAAGTAATTTTATGATAATGTTTGTGAGAAAAGCTGTAAATTATAAATGAGATATGTGTTCTATGGTAGTACATTTCTTGCATAATCGTTGGGTATTCTTTTTTATCTTTTTTTCTTTTCTTTTGGGGACCTAAATGGGACTTTTAGGAAATATGAAACTATGGTTCTCTAATTGTGGTCGAGCAGCCAAATGTGTTAAAACTCCATTTTTAAGTGTAGCCGCTCGGATCTGAAGTAGTTCAATATGTTCAATACAACTTCAGAAATCAAATCAGAAGTTCTTTTATCTTTCAAATACAATTTCAGAAATTTGAATTTGAAGTAGTTCAATCTCTTTAATGCAATTTTAGAAATCAAATCTGAAGTTCTTCCCTCTTTCAAATGAAACTTCATAAATTCGAATCGTAAGTAGTTCTATCTATTGAGTGCAACTTCAGATTTCGAATTTTAAGTTCTAAAACATAAATTGGTTCTTCGAATTTTAACAATCCAATACACGATTCAATTTCCAAATCTACTCCAAATAAGCTCGAATTTGAAATATAACTTTCAAATATCACAAAGAACAAATCTCAATTATCAAAACACCAACAAAATTAACAAACTCATTTGCAACTAAGAAGAAGAAACTCTAAGCACAAAGAAGAAAATAACAGTAAAGAAGAAGCGGAAAGTGTATGTATCTGAAGTTATGCAAATATTGGGTATCAATTAAACTTTTTTTTAAAAATGGGTACAAATTCAATGGGTGACATAAAATTGCGCGCCATATGAAAATTTTATGAATATTTTCATATTTACCTACTTTTGTGGTCATCGTTAAAGTTATATCTGTATTGCACAAAATTGGGCAAAGTGTACCCACTCGGATCTGAAGTAGTTCAATATCTTCAATGCATTTCAGAAATCAAATCTGAAATTCTTCTATCTTTTAAATGAAACTTCAGAAATTCGAATTTGAAGTAGTTCAATCTCTTCAATATAAATTCAGAAATCAAATCTGAAGTTATTCTATCTTTGAAATGTAACTTCAAAAATTCGAATATTAAGTAGTTCAATTTATTGAATGCAACTTTAGATTTCGAATCTTAAGTTTTGAAACTTAAAGGCAAAATATCTTACGACCCCCCTAAACTTATCACGGATTATTAGTTACAGCCTTAAACTATTCGTGGTCTTAATTACCCCCCCCCCCAACTAAGCCTTTTGAAAGCCATTACCCCCCTGGACGCTGATGTGACAAATTGTGTGGATGCACTCGCCTGCCACGTGGATTTTTTTGTATATGTGGCATTTTTTTTGAAAAATTAAATATATTTTTACCTTTTAAGTATGTTATTTTTTTAGATAATTTTTTTCGAATACAATTTATAATAAAACTTGGATAGAACTACATTATTAGGCTAGATTTTTTTATTTGGCTAAAAATAATAAAGTTTTAGTTAATCTTTTTTTTGAATTTGACCTGAAAGTAAAGATTTATACAATTGAAATAAATAATCAAGGCATCTAAAAAGTTATAAAAATACATAGTTTGAAATTAATTATTTTGGCTATAATTTTTTATATTGCTCTAAATTATGGTGCTCTAAAAATATATTATTATTTTTTACAAATTTTACCTGAAAAAAGTAAAAATACACAGTTGAAATAAATAGTCGTTGTATCAAAAGAAGAAATAAAAAGAGTGTACAATTGTAAAAAATAACTTACTTTATGGATACATTTTTAGAGCAATAAAAAAAATGGCAGCCCGATACACTAAGCTTCCGTTATGCTCAGGATCTGGGGAATAGCCGGACCACAAAGGTCTATCGTACGCAACCTTGCCCTGCATTTCTGCAATCAGTATTTTTTAGAGCAATAAGTATGTTAGAAATAATAACTTATTTTTAGGCTAACTTTTTTTATTTGGCTAAAAATAATAAAGTTTTAGTTAAAATTTTTTTGAATTTGACCTGAAAATAAAGATTTATATAATTGAAATAAATAGTAAAGGCATCTAAAAAGTTATAAAAATACATAGTTTGAAATTAATTATTTTGGCTATAATTTTTTATATAGCTTTAAATTATGGTGCTCTAAAAATATGTTTTTTACATATTTTACCTGAAAAAGTAAAAATACACAGTTGAAATAAACAGTCATTGCATCAAAAGAAGAAATAAAAAGATACTTATTGCTCTAAAACTTTATTATTTTTAGCCAAATAAAAAAAATTGCCTAAATAATGTAGTTCTATCCAAGTTTTTATTATAAATTATATTTGAAGAAAATTATCTAAAAAAGTAACATACTTAAAAAGGTAAAAACATATTTTATTTTTCAAAAAAATGCCACATATACAAAAAGATTCACGTGGCAGGCGAGTGCACCCATACAATTTGCCACATCAGCATTCAGGGGGGTAATGACTCTCCTAGTTGAGGGGGGTAATTAAGATCACAAATAGTTAAAGTTGTAACTAATAATTCATGACAAGTTTAGGAGGGTGAAAAGGTATTTTGCATAACTTAAACTAATTCTTTTAATTTCAACAATATAATACACGATTCAATGCACAAATCTACTCTAAATGAGCTCAATTTGAAACATAATTTTCAAATATCATAAAGAACAAATTTTAATCATCAATTTATCAAAACAACAATAAATTTAACAAACCTACTTTGCAACTAAGAAGAAGAAACTCTAAGCACAAAGAAGAAGAAAACAACAGTAAAGAAAAAGATAAAGTATATGTATCTGAAGTTATTTAAAAATTAGGTATTAATTAATTTTTTTAAAATGAATACAAATTCAATTTGTGACGCAAAACTGGATGTCACATGAAAATTTTACTGTCATCTCACACTTGGCCCATAAGGCTGCCATGAACACAATTTTGGGTCAATCTTTAGATTTGGTCCAATTTTGTAGGGCCTTGTAAGTGAAGATATGGGTCATTTCATTGCTTGGCCCAATTAAGGGCTAACCACTTGATTGCATGTTAAAAGCATGACTTTTAAGTGTTAGGTTAATGTTGTTATTAAAATGGATATTGGACTTGCAGATGGACAAAGCATAAGCTACGTGTCATGACTTTCTAAGAGTACAATGCTTTAATGCACTTTTGTTTTCTTAAGTTCTAAGAGAAATATTTTGCCGTTTTGGGGAAAAAAGGGGAGAAATTTAAAAATAGCCAAATTTATAAGTGGTCATTTAAAAATAGTCACGGTTCCAAAAGTAATCGAAATTTAGTCATTTTTATGTAAAGATAAATCTGAACGAAAACACTGTTCAAAATTCGGCAAAATACTCCAGCATAATATACTGGAATTTGGAGCACCGGTGCTCCAGTCTCCAGTATATTATACTGGAGCCAGTAAAGCATACCGGTCCAACATAATATGCTGGAAGTTCATACACAGGTGCACCGAACTCCAGTATATTATGCTGGACCGGTCTCTGCTGCAGCAAAGTAATGGCTAATTTTCAATGACTTGACAAACGCTGACTATTTTTGAATGACCAATCCGAGCGTGCTATTTTAACTCCAAATTCTTGCTTTGTTTTTATTAAGTACGTTTTTGTTGAATTAATGACCATTTACCCCTTCGAAGAAATTGCTTATTTTAATCAATTATTTAGCAATGAACTATTTATCTAATAATGGTTGATTTACACAATCTAAAACAAATTCCAAATTCCAACAGACTCAAGACAGAAGATTTATTCATTATTCATACAACTAATTCTTGAGAATACGATATACATACATAATTTTGTCCCCATGTTTATGTATAGTGATAGAATAAAAAGAATAAAGAGTTATGTTTGGTGCATTCATAATGTAATTTTATACATTATGAAGTTAAATTGACTAACGATAATATATAACTCTTCATGTTAAGTCTCATACTTGATATAACCAATTTTATAATGGGAAAATTTCACATTAGAACAATTGGGCTCCATACTTTTCAATTTTATAGCTCATATTTCAATTTACAACCAACTAGCCTAAAAATGGCTAAGATTCAACATCCAACTCCAATAGGTTCTCAAAATTACTATTTAATTTTTAAAAAAGATTCCTCAAACTTTTAAATTAATTTTCGAATCAGTAACTGTGACTCAAATATTAATTCAACAAACCAAATTCATTTGGGTGGTGAAAATTAGATTTTTAACAAGCTTAAATATGTGGGTTTAAATTCCGAATTTGATTTTGTGAGAAATTTGGAGTGGGTATTATCTAGACTTGTTAAAAATAGTATAAGGAGGTTGTATATAAAATTTGAAGTCATTTAATGGAGATTTGGACTGGTTTTGAACAAGAATTGCAACTGAAAATCGTGGAAGAAGTTCGTCTACAGACGCTTGTATAAAGGTGTATAAAAGTGTATAATAGTGTATAAGGTATGTTTCTACACTCATATGCACTATTATACAAGGTTATACATAATTATACAAAAAACTGACTTCGTCTTCTTTCTTGCGTCTTTTCTAAAATTTAACTTAAATCTTGCTCAAATCTACTCCAAATCACTTCAAATTTAAATTTTGAATTCCTTTTGATATTTTCAATGAATTAGAACAACATCCAATCCAAATAACTAATAAATTCAAAAAAAAACATTTTCAAAAGCAAACCTTTGAATGGTGTTCAATGGTGGACATCTACTTTTCAATTTTCTTACATTACTAGCAGGTGACACAAGAGGAGAAGCAAAAAATACACAACCCCTGGAAGCATATGTAGAAGATGTGAGAAGAAGAGAGAGTGAAAGCAATAGTTGTGAGAACAAAGAATTAACTCCATAGCTTTTAGAAGCAATGATTGTAAAAACACAAATTTTGAATCTGCAACTGCTTTCAAAGTACAATATGAGTTAGGTGGGGTAAAACTTAAAAACATGGACTATTTTTTATTATGGTGTGAAGTCACGTGTATTTTCTTGTAATTCTTTCTTTTATAATCGGTGTATATAACTTAGAGCACTAAAGGGTCATTTAGTTTGAAAGAGGGTTATCCATAGATTAATATTTTAATTCTGTAATTGTTAACCCACATCCAATATTGGCTAGTTAATACTTAAATTT